CTCATTGTATGTGTAGGCTTCAGGATTATGCAGACGGGAGTTCAGAAGTGCTGCCTGATTGTCCAGGAAGTAAGGTTGTTACTTAGTTCTATGCCTGAATTAAGAGAGAGAAAACTGGACCGATGGCTAATTTATTGCAGTCGGGGAGGGGAGGGATGACAAGTTTCCTTGGAGTATCACCAGTTTGTGGTAGCACTGATGTATTTGTTTATGGCTTGGAAAGTCTTTTGAAGAATGTACCTTTGCATCAGTTTTCTGCATTCCAGAAAATAATTCTGAAAGTGTTAGTGCCAAATTGTGTTAATGGCTATATATTGCATGCACACATTTTGACATCTGAATGTTTAAGACCAAAGCCAGATGAATTCACAAATAATGACATGTTCCTCCCAGCCTTACTGAGCAATTAAATGCATTGCAACTTCAATATATGAATGTCTTAGTTTTGTAGTGTGGTTGTGTTTAGATCCTCAGGTGCCAATGCTTGTTGACAATAAAACTTTCTATAAAGAAGCAACTAGATTTTTTTGGGGGTGGGTGGGAGAACTCCAACCCTTTGGTAATTTCTTTTCAATCACACAATCAAAATTAACTAAAGGGAACACCAAAAAAAAAAAAAGTAAATTGCAACTGAATAACTTGGGGCTTCTTCCTATATCACAGTTTCATTTTAGGAAGACTCACAATTTGCAGAAGTAGAGATGTACTATAGAAGAGTGGAATGAATACAGAATAACCCCTCACAGATTATTTGAGCATAGAAATAAATCTTGTTTAATATGGGAGGGGCAGAGGAGGAGTAGAAGGAAATAAAAATTCAAAAACTTATTTTAAAAAACCTTGGTGTTCATATTGTGCAAGGAAGCTCTAGTACAGGGGTCGGCAACCTATGGCCCGCGGGCTGAGTCTGGCCTGCCAAGGCCTGCCAACTGGCCCCTGCCCAATCCTGCTGCTGCTGCCACGTGCATGCTGCTGCCTCCACACCGTGTGTGAGTGCAGGCGCTATTTTGGCATCCAAAATGGCGCCTGCACCTGCGCATGCATGTGCACGGCGGCAGGCACCATTTTGGAATGCTCAATGGTGCTGTTGCCATTAGGCTTTCCAAAATGGCACCCCCCACACGCGCACGCATGCGCACGATGGTGGGCGTCATGCACATGCACGCATGCAGGGGCAAGCGCATGTGCCCCGGCCTCTGGTGCCATTTCCCCCCCCTCCCGGCAAAAAAAGTTGCTGACCCCTGCTCTAGTATATAGTAGTCATATTGCAATAAGTGGAACAATGCATACACAACTGCATACAAAGCTCTAAAGATAATTTGGATAGACTGCTTCTACTTTTCATCAGTGTTTCCTCTTTCACTATATGGTCTCCAACCCTGACAAACTCTGTGCATGATTACAAAAATTATTTTTATATGTTGATTAGAGAGGAGAGAGGGAGAGACCTACTTGCATAAACAATGCTAGCAGAATGCACCTGTTAGAGTCCTACAGCTTCCTTCTGGGTTTTGCACCCATCAGTTTCCCATTCCAGGAAAAAAGATATTGAGCCCAGAAAGGATATTTTAAAGTTTTGAGATAATTACACATTCCTATCAGTTTTTATTATGTGCCTGAAAGTGCTAGAAAGATCAAACACTTACATGTGGCAGAGCAGTCTGCTTTTAAAGTGTTACAGGTAAATCCATTGCTTTCCGAATGGACCACCCGTGGACTACTTGGCTTGGTGTATGTGCATGGGCCATCTCTTTTGAGTTTGTAAACAACAGCTTAGCTGATGACTGCAAAAGCCAGAGTGATTCATTCTCCAGTGACCTTAGTAAGTAATGCAAAACAATATTTTCAGTGACCAACCATCTCCTGAATGTTTATACTGTAGTTTATACTGTATACCTTCCTTTGCCTCCTTGCTTTGCATCTTCTGTCTTTCCTTCCTTCCCTCAGTGATTCTGAAAGATAAAAGTTGGCACAAAGCAGTCTGTGTCAGCCAAAGCTGAAGATTCTGCAACTGAATTCTACAGTGAACCTTGGAGAACTTGGTTTTTACATTAATAGAGATGGTGAATATGGCCTGCTCCATACATTTTAATGGATGTTGTTTTAGAACCATTAATTGGGGATCAATTAATGGATAAAAAAAATCCCTGGCATTTTAAGGCTGAGATGAGGTAATCTGTGGCCCTTCAGATGTTACTGGACTGCAGTTCTCATCATACTTCACCATTGACCATGCTGGTGAAGTCTGATGGAAATTGCAGTCTAGCAAAATCTAGAGGGCTACCATGTTTTTGATGTTTTGATATGTTGTACGCCGCCCTGATTGCTTGGCAGAGGGGCGGGATATAAATAAAAATTATTATTATTATTATTATTATTATTATTATTATTATTATTATTATGTTCTCTACTCCTGCTTTAATGCTTAAAATGAAATGTGGTTTCTAGAGCAGTGAGCATTTCAGAGTTCATACTTACTTATTTAGAGCATTTATACCCCATTCTTCAGCTACAAAGGCTCTCAGAGTGGTTTACAGATTGTTAATTTCCCTGCCCTCAGGTTTACAGTCTAAAAAGACATGACACAAAAGAAGAAGGGAAAGGCAGTAGGGAAAGGGATCAAGTCCAGGAGATACTGCCAGTTCTTCTCTCCCTTGAGGGCCAGGGTGGTGGCAGTTAAGATGATGGGAGGGCCTTCATGTGCCTCTGGGTCTATGAATGGCAGAGCTGTGCCTGCCTCTTCTTCTCTCCCTCCGAGGTCACTGGTAGCAGTTAAAATGGAAGGTATGTGTTAAGAGTTGGAGTGTGTGTGTTTGTATCAAGCAGCCTTCTGCAACCTCATATCCCTAGGAATGGTGTTCCTCCGATGTATTGGATCCTTCCAGCTGGCTGGGGGTCCTGAGAATTGCAGTCCAACACTTCCTGTTTTATTCTTGTTCAGCTACTTATTTCTTGTAGTGGCCCACAAGCTTTGTGTGAAAACAACAGACCTTCCCAAACTACTCCAACCCAGCAACTAGTATTTCAAGATATATTGGCCCTTAGCATGGTGGTTCTATCAGCCACAATAGCTGTATAGCTATTGCTCCAGCAATAGCTCCAGCTTCAGAAGCACAACTCCAACCTCAGATTAAGACATGATGAGACCCTAAAAGTGGTCAAATTTGAGATCCTATAGCATTAGCAAACAGTTATTCTAATAATAATGAAAAAAACTTGAAAATGTAGTAATTTTTGCATTTATAAAGCTCTAAACTTTACCATACTTAGCTTGATCCTAAACATAACACCATCCATTCCCTCTTCATATAAAGAGCAGCAGCAGCTTTCACTAATAGCCAAGCAGCTGGAACATTCTGGATTATGTAGTCCAAAAAAGTATTCTCCTCCCCTCAGGTCAGTGCTGTTCACAAATAGAGAGATTGGTGGTCAAAGTGTTCTCTTTCTGTTTCTCAAAGTAAAAGCATTAGTTCCACCACACTGCAGATGGCTGTGGGACCAAGAAAGACCCCCTGCTTGAGATGGTGATGAGTACTTGTCAATTGAAGTAAATAGAATTGGGCTAAGTGGACAAATATAGGAACCATCTAAAGACAAGGGCAGATCCCCATGCTTTGTGTATCATTTAGAGCTCTTATGCCAATTAAGCCATTATTTTATGGATGGGCAACTTGTGAATTGGATTGTTACTTTCAGAATTCCTCACCATTGGCTATGCTGGCTAGGGCTGCTGGCAGTTGCAGTCCCACATCTGGAGAGCTACTCTTTGCATGACCCTGATTTAGGTGGAGCCAAGACAACATTAACAAAACACACATCTTGATTCTACCATTAGACAGAATGGATGATGGGCATTACAAAAGACAGTAAATTATTAATTGGTTATTATTGCATTTTTACTGACAGTGAGAAAGAGTTGTGAATTTCTTCCTCTGGTGCCAAAACAATATGGCTGGCCTGGAGATCTTATAAATCTTGCTACCATTTTCTCTTTTACCTCAGAGAACAAAATGTATTGAGCTGACCATGGGGGGGGGGAGAGAATGTGAAAGGGCAAGATTTGAAATATATGTTTATGTCTGTACAGGTGTTTTTACATACACATGCACATATACAATGAAAGGGAATAAAGGCAGCAGTTTGTCTTTTTGGTGTGTGAGCATGCAGTAAATTTCATATCTTTAGACACAGAAGGCAAGTACAGTAACTTTTAAATAATAACTTCCTGAGGTATATCATTAATTCTGTTTGACTTGCCAGCATGCAAACGGGGAAAAAAACCATACTTTGCAGTGCCTTTTGATTTCCACTTCTTAGTTCCTATGAAACTCATCTATTCCACAAGGAATTTATCCTTTGTTGCACTTCTAGCAAAGAATCTCAGTAGACACCTAGATCTGAACACTTTTTCTTCCCTGAAAGAACTAATGCTAAACTGAAATTCCTCCCACAAATCCCTTTTGATTTTACTCATTTTTTTTAAAACAGCCACTGCTTTAAAAAGGTTGATGCTGTGATGCCTTTACAAATGTAAATAACTATAATGTTCAGGAAGCTCTGTTTGGAGTTGCCAACAAATTGTGCCTTATGGAACAGCATAATAGTGGTTGTTCAATGGACTTTGATAACTTTCAGATGGTTGACTTGTGGGGGTCCACTCTTTGTATGTGTTCTGTGCTAACAATCTAACAAAAATCACCCATCTATATTTACAGGTATATATTAAGAGAAGGCCCCTCCCCATGAAAATAGCTCAGATTCTTGATACACACACACACACACATATACACTTAGTAAACTCAGTCATGAATGGGAAATGGGCAGAGGATGTGAAGATGTGAACTGCTAATTTAAAAATAAAAGAGAAATAAGATTTTTGCACCCCTTATTTTTTAGGACTTAAAATGAGCAAGATCTCAGTAGGTCCCAAACCTGTTCTGAATGTCAGTGTTCAGCATTGTCTTATAATACAGAGAGACAAAGAAAAAAAGAGAGAAGAAGGGGTTGTAGCTCAATGGTGGAGCCTTTGTTTTGCTTGCAGAAGGTCTCAGGTTCAGTCCCCAGCATCTTCAAGTAAGGCTAAGAACAAATCATGCTTGAAACTCTATGACCTGTATCCTATTAATGACAGACGTATGCATAAGTCAAGCCATACATGCTTGGTGAATTATTCACCATGGCAGAGCTGACATTTTCTGCAGACAGTGGTGAAAGTGGAGTTACACATACAGAAATGTTGCACATTGTGGTTGCACATTATACATTGTGATTTCACATTTTACTCATTCACATAATGTTGCTATTCTGCATGGGGACTGCATAAAGTTGGCACAGTATATCTCTGCATGAGGATATTTACATTATGCTAAAGGGACATTAGATTAAAGCCAATGGGCCTTTGCAGACTGCCAGAAATAGTGCAAACTGAGTGCTGGCTCAGTGCTAGGGAATCATGGGAATTGTATTTTTTTCTAAGACATTGAGACTTCTCTGTCAGAGAGCTCTGGTGCCACAATAAACTACAGTTCCCATGATTCCCTAGAACTGAGTCAGGGCAGTTAAAGTGGACTCAATTTGCACTATTTCTGGAAGTCTGCAAAGGCCCAATGTCAACAAGACTGAACTACTGTAGATAGACTAATGGTCTGACTCATCCTAAGACAGCAATTGCCCATTTAACTGAATATGTACGTAGAGATGAAGACATTTTCTGGGTTCTGTCCCTTTATCACACATTAGCATGGCTAAGAAATGGGACCTCATGTTAGATGGGTTCAATTTCTAGTGTTCCACTCCATTGAGGCTTAAGAGGCAGAATAAATGGTATGTAGTTTGGCATCATCATCATCATCATCATCTAAGAACAGGATTTTGCTCTCTTACAGGTATGACTACATAGTTGTAGAAGTTTGACAGAATCCTGGGATTTGTAGTTTGATGAGATAGAATTTTGTGCCAGAGAAGCCTAATCCAGTTCTCTGAACTTCAGCACTAAACTGTGATAATTATGTAGTGCAGATACAGACTAAGATAAAGATAAAAGTATTTCCCATTGACAAGGTTGTCAAGTCATGTCTGACCATAGGGGACAGTGCTCATCTCCATTACTAAGCCAAAGAGCCAGCATTGTCAGAGACTACTCTGTGCTCATATGGCCAGCATGATTGCACAGAATGCAAAATTGTACAGACTACTGGGGTATTTTCAGGAATATATATTTGATATAGTGGTGACTCAAGGGGGGTGAATTTTTGGGTTTACATTTTATTGTAGTTTTAATGTAGTTTTAAAGAATTAATGCCACCCCAATTGCATTGGAGTGGGGTGGGATATAAATAAATAAATAAATAAATAAATAAATAGGAACCAGTCAAATGCTGCTGTTGTAGTAGGGACTGCACTTGTGTACAACTTTTCCATTAACCTGAATATTAATGAATGCCATCAGTGCACAAAACAGCAGTCTTGACTGCCCTCAAGGACAGCAGGCTGATTTAGTAATGCAGACGAGACCATGTGGCATATATGGCTCTGGCTCACTTCTGTTCTAGGCATCTGTTGCTACCTTACTTTATCTAATGGTGATTAGATTAGATTAGTTACCATGCTTTGTTGGAACCAGATTTAAATGTATATAACTTGGCTGGCAGAAGGGGAATTTCTTGACCCTTTCCACTGTAAAGAAGCCCTTCCAGCATCCATAAAACACTCCTTGTTGAATGGGATAGACAATGGTGCAGGGAAAAGGAGGGATCCCTGGTAACTGAGCAGAGTCACCTTCCATGAGTGGAAGCCTTCTACCCACAGAAAGCAGATCCTGGATCCAACCTAATGAATTGTGATGCACAGAGTCAGGCCATTGCTATCCATAGAATGTTTGCTCTATAGTAGTGTTGGATTAGGCATGATAACGCTAGCAGTGGCTTATTAGTCTTCAAAATCATTGGTGTTCATGCACAGAAACACACACACACACACACACAAACACACAAGCACAAAGTAAAGTACCATAAAAACTAACAGTACAGATTGAGACTCCCTTATCTGAAATGCTTGGGACCAGAGGTGTTTTGGATTTTGGATTATTATTATTATTATTATTAGATTTTGAAGTAGCTGTATTTGCATATAGGCAAATAATTGAATATCTTGAGACGAGACCCAAGTCCAAACACCAAATTCATTTATGTTTTATATATACCTTATACACATAGCCTGAAGATGATTTTATGCAATATATTAAATAATTTTGTGCATGAAACAAAATTTGCATACACTGAACTGCCAGAAAGCAAAAGTGTCACTATCTCAGCCACCCATAGAAAATTGTTTGGTTTTTGGAATATTTTGGATTTCAGAATTCCGGATAAGGGACACTCAACCTGTACTGTCAAACCTAAAAACACCACCAGCAAACCAGAGATATTAACTGTAAAGAAACCCCTAAAAATTTTAAAAGCTGCTTATTTCATGTTATTTCGTCCATCAAAATATATTAGCTGGAATAAAAATGGTCACAAAGGAACAGGACAATGATGTGTCCAGATGAAGGGAATTCCATAGATTTGTTGTAAATACAAAGAAGGCCAGTTCCTGTCCCTCAACTCATGTGGTATAACTGTCAAGATGTGAAGAAGAGCCTCCTAAGTAGACCTTAAAATGCTGGCAGGTAGAGATGGAGATGGTGGCTTAAGATTTACTCTTTCCAAGCCACTATGGGATTTAAGGATAATAATGAGCACTTTAGATGTTGCCTGGAAATGAATAGTGCAGGGGGCATCACTTGTTCCCAAGGATGAGCAACAACTTCTAGTTGCTGCATTCTAAACCAGATGAAGTTTCTGGAAAGGCAGCTCTGTGTAGTGTTCAATATATCAACAAGGCATCCCACTCCCAAAGCTGATATCAGCTTTAGTGTAGATATTTTCTTCAGGGGGAGAATAATATCAAAATACTCTTCCATGCCTGCTGCAATTGCTACAATTGTCAAACCCCCTTCACCTCCCTGCATTTGCATTTTTAATAAGCCTGCATATTAAATCAAAAATGCATTTGATCTGCCATGTTTAGTTTGGCCCTAAGATACAGTGTCAATTCCCTGACGATTGTGCAAGAGAGCAGTGATTGCTATTCCAAGAGTTTAGTCCGGGGCTAGGCAACATATGACTTTCCAAATGTTGTTGGATTGCAACTCACACCAATCCTAGCCAGTACAGCCAGCCAGTAGTGGGGGGTGATTAAAACCATAGAACATCTAGACAGCCAGACTTGGCATAATTAGAATTATGATTTATTCACTTGCATGTTGTATCACACTCTGATCTCTGTGTGTCTGCCTTTTTGTGTAGATATTGGCAGAGAAATAAAAGTGTTTTATTTTGTTTTATAAGCCATGGCAGGATAAGAATGTCAAAATATGGTTCAGCATCCCATTATTTTCAGTAGCACTGTTTCTACAATGCATGGTATAGAAGCATGGTAGCCCTTTAATGGCACAGGATGGAGCCAGGGTAGTCAAAGTGGTACCAAAATGCTAATACCATGTAGCATAGATATACCATCTGCTGCATGTTTGCTTTTATTCCATTTCATTTCATATGAAACTATAGGAAATTCTTGTCAGTGAATCCAGAACTTTTCCAATAGACCGTGAACCGGGAAATTTTATATATATATATATATATACACACACACACACACACACACACACACACACACACACACACACACATTCTTTTAGAAGAATTGTTTCTGGTTGTGAAATATTTGTACCATTGCTGTCCCTTACATACCTCACTGATCCGAGAGAACCCATGTTGTAGTCCTACTAAATGGTATAGTTTGGATGCAAATAATTATGCTGTTTGAGCCAATGTACCATGTCGCATAATCAGAGTAATGATTTCCCTAGTGTATCCCTGCACTGCAAGCATAAAAAGGCAGATAGTCTAGATGTGTAGTGAAAGACAATCAAAGCATGTGATTTAGAAAATGCTTCGTAGCCTCTTTTTATTGAAGCAAAAGGTGTGTTGTGCCTACTAGACTCAAATCAATTAAATGTATTGTGTTGCCAGCAATCTTACATTGTACTGAGTCTATACTAAATGGATGTTTGCAAAGTGCTACATTTAATGATGTGTTTCCATTTCTCTCTCTTTCCCCCCCCCACCCTAATCTTGCAGTGTCATAATTATAGACAAGATATGAGCTGGGTGGTGTATATAACAGTCAGGTTTAGCAAGTTAACTGGGCAGTGTCTCCTTAAGTAGAGCCCAACTTCTGTAATCCTTGCTTCTCCATCCTTCTCCCACAAAAAGGAAAATATATATATATGTCAGGCTTCAATTTTTTCCATCCAATGTTCTCCAGCAGCAGATACTGGGATGGGAGGTAGCAGGCCTTATCTTATGCGCCTCCAAAGTCTTCCAGCCATTCTTTTCTTTTGGAGCTGTGTATGCCACATGGCCTGTCCTGTATCGCTCAACAAACTAGCCTTTCTGCTGTTGGTTGGAGTGAAGAATGCAATCTTGTTGCCAGCATTAAAATAAGATGTAATTGCAGTGGCTTTCAGATTCTGTTCACTGAATGGAGGTGATGCCCTGCTTGCATTAAGAGCCCTGCTGGAGAGCTCTATGAAGGCTTGTTAAATAAATCTATTAAGTTTACAACATCTCTGTGCTACTAAAATCCAGCAGTCAAGATTCAGCTGTCAGTACACTGGACAGGGCTGTGTGACCTCTGTGCTAACAAAAGTAAAACCCAGCTCTCAAATAAAAGGTTCAATTCTAAGAGAAGCCAAAATTTGCATCTTCTATGGCATATGCAACATGAGCAAATTTGCCTCAAGTTTTTTCTTTTGCATAAGTGATTCTATCTGTATAATTTCTCTTTTGAAATCCACCTTTCACATTCCAGAATGAGGAAGTATTAACAATGTGAAGTAAGAATCAATTGCTCAAAAACTATTGCTGCAGCTGGAGATCTAAAGTGAAATCCAGTAGCAGCAACTATAGCTTTAAATTCTATCTCTTCTATGAAAGAGCTGTCACTGTAGAAGTTATCTAACATGACT